TTGGAATTGATTTCCAAAGGGTACAACCCAACGGATTTAAGCCAACAACCAAGTTGCAATTTCCCGGGCAAACAAATTAAAATCCTGTTCCACAACCTTTATGTGGACTAACATTTCTCCTGGTCCACCATTGCGCTGACACAACTCTTTTCCTGGGTCATAACCTTTATGATGATACATGTGTACCTACCCCATTCAGATCGTCAAGTCGGTTGAGTTGGAAGATCACGACCTTTCAAAAACTGCTGAGGGTTTGGCATAAATACGTTTCTTGTCATATCATTCAAATCCTGGGTCACAGGGTTTCCACCGGCTCCATTATTTTTTTGCTCGCATGCTGTCAAGATCTTTCAAGACGGGGAGATGGATGACACTAGGCTTTGGAGGTCCAGAACTGTTTCTCTCTCTCTCTCTCTCTTTTGGAAATGACCAGAAATGATGTTTTCCTGAACCCCAACCTTGCGACATCCATTTTTTGATGATTTTTACCTGACTTGGCATTTTTATTCGCCGAAGTGGAGTCACAGGAAAAAAAATACTGGTACAACGGGGGATCTTACATCCATTAAAAAGCAAGTGTATCCTGAAATAGATCCATTGTATATACATACATAGGTATTATAGTTCCGTATATATATATATATATATATCATAAATAACGTTATATTATAATGATAAAAATTATATATTATATAAATATATAAATCGCTGACTATTATATATTATATAAACGTTTATTATATATTGTATATATATATATACAATATAGTTATATAAATCCCTGACTACCCAGTGATTTTCTGGATGCTGTCCCCACGTTAGCTTCGAAAATGATAGTCATGACAAAGGGCTACCATGTTACTGGTATTTGGGTGTGTCTGAAAATGGAATATAATTCAGTTGAATATAGTACCCTCTGGTAAACATACAAAAAGCTATTGAAAATGGCCATTTATAGTGAGTTTTCCCATTAAAAATGGTGATTTTCCATAGTTATGTTAGTTTACCAGAGGGTAATACTTGGCTACCATATAATTATATGGGGAATTATATGTTTGGAAATTGATTATTATCCATAATTCCATATCATTCCAAATAGACAGTCGAAAAAGGGAAACTCATGACAATCCATTGGAAGTAATGGATACACCAATTAAAAAATGGATGCGTTCCAATGAAAATATGATATCCCATGGTAAACTCATGTTTTTCAGACACACCCATTAGAAAAAAGACAGGATTGGCCAACCATCGGACCATTGTCCAAGCTCAACACCTGCGGATTGCCACATTTTCGGATGAACAGCATTTTTCATCGTTGCTTCAATTGTTGGTTCAACTCTTGGTTCTAGATTCCCTCTTCTATTTCCCCATGAAATACCTTAAATAAACATCAGTAATACAAAAATCATCATGAGATCATCAACTGGTTGGTGGTATACCTACCCCTCTGAAAAATATGAGTTCGTCAGTTGGGATGATGACATTCCCAACTGAATGGACAGTCATAAAATTCATGTTCCAAACCACCAATCAGTCATAGTATATAATAACCATTAAATAATCATAGTATAATCATATAATTCAAAATAATCATAGTATATAATAACCATTCATCAATAAATCATCATTTTTTCCAGGAAAATTCCGACCCCCGCTGGGTCCCGGCCTGGGCCCCAGTCATCGTTTTTGTTTCTGGTCGTCGGTTGCGCAAGAGACGGAAACGGTGTTTTTGGGCGTTGCTTGAGCCAAGCAGATCCGCGGCGGGTCCAGGGCTGAATTCTGTGTAAATCTCTAGGGAAGTTCATGTGATATGGGAACATCATAGATTTTAGGGATTTTCCCAGTGATGACACCAATTCGGAGATATCTATTCGGAGATCATGGGATGATAATCGTTGTTGGGGTGTGACGTGGGATGTTGTTTTTTTTATACCCACCTTTTCGAATGGGATTTCCAATGGGACATGGTGGGAATGTATGGGAAATTTCAGCGGGAAGTGATCCATCAAAATCATCGCGGTTTGGGTTGGAAATAGGCTGCCGAATCCATTTGCTAATCCAAATGTTCCAAGAATAGCCACTTTTCTCATACTTTTCTCCCCAAATCCAATAAAAAATCGCCATTCATCCCTTGCCCCCTATTAAACACAACCCAATCCAACCCTTGTTTTTTGGAGGGATTGAAAAAGCTATTTGGGACCATAGAATGGGGGTGTTTGATTTCATGTTCAGAATTTCATGATAAGTTATCAATTATAATCATCATTCTAAAGCTCTGCATCCACCCCATGGGCCCCATCAAATAGCCATGAAACCGCAGTAAATCGGCACTGGATTCGAGGCGAACAACAATAACAACAATAATAAGTTGGAATATGGAGGTTTCCTAAAATAGGGGTACCCCCAAATCATTCATTTTAATAGGATTTTCCATTATAAACCAACCATTTGGGGTGCCCACCATTTATGGAAACCCCCATATGGGGCCTCAACAACTATGGTTATGAGTATGTGCCCGGTTCTTAACTATGCAAATATGACAATAAAAGATGCCTCATTTGTAATGTGGGTAAAACAATGCCATAAACACCCATTTGGGAATGGTTTGTATCATCTACAAAAAAATGATTTGAGGGATGATTTATTATTGTTTTACCAACATTAGGTGATTCACCTATCAAACATGAATCACTCTTGAGTGCACGGAAATGGTTTCTGATCCATGAATCATGCACAAGCTGAGAAAATCAGGTCATTTTTAGTGGTGGTTTCTAAAAAAAATCAACCACAACATCATTGCCAGCTCCCTGGATGTTCACAAATCATTTTTTCCAGAGCTTTGCAGCTTGGCGGTTTCAACTTTCAAGCCTTTTGAACAACGATTTGTTTAAGTCAATCGGCATCATCCTTTCCGGTTGACTTATTGCACTTATTGGAAATGGTGATTTTCGACGAAATTACCAGAGGCATCCATGGGATGATTCCTGGATGGCATCCATGGGGTTTCAGAAGGAGAATCCCTTGATGGGTCATCCGCAAAAAAACTGGTTAAACAACTATGTTAGGTATCTTACAGGATGGGGCCCCTAACTATAGTTAGCTAAGTTAGTGCAAATAACATCAAATAACTATAGTAACCATAGTCTATGATACGCAAGTAACTATATTTGGATGGGGTTATCAACCAACAAACATAACTGGAGGGCCCCATCCTGTAGATGGTTAGGCTATTGACTTAAATCCTATTATACTATAAACTTCAAACGTGTTGGTAGGGTAGGTTTCAGATGGCCCTCGGGGCCTATGCCTTTGCTGCACGGGGAAAAGCGCAAGGCAGCCAGCCAAACGGCCGTTTGTTTAGAAATGTTGAACGGTGCGGTGGTCAAGTCGCACGGGCATCCATTTTAGTTGGCTTTTCCACCAAAAAAACATCCATTTTGAAGGTACCACCATTTATGGAATCACACATATCCAAAATTGAGAAACATGTTATTGAAGCATTGAAGCATGAACGTTGCATGGCATTTATTCAACAAAATTGAGGATGCTCAAGTGATACAAATTGTCATGTGATTGTTATGGGATGAATGGGTCATCTCATCTGAGATTGCCCAATTCATTTGCCAAACAATAGATTCATGGGGAAGGACCATCCCCAAACTGATGGTAAACATCATATGGTAACCATGGCATGATGTTTCTGGATGAAGCCCGGGATATGGAAAGATATGGACAGTGCAGAAAAAATAACCAACCCCCATGGACTTTCTTTGAATCCAACATTTCGAATCTTGGATATGGAGCAAAATGCATTGTATAGACAAGCTCCACCTCAGTCGTTTTGGTCCAGTAGCAAATTTGGTCCATTAGTCCAGTAGTTGATTTCCAGGCATTTAGGTGTGTCTGAAATAGGAGGTATATCCAATCTATGTAAACTTTGAGCAGGATATAGCAGGTGCTTAGCCATCATAGTTTTTCTTTTCTATGATGTTCTCTCTAGATTTTCAGGTACCAAACCATTTCAGAACAAGAAGAGATGGTAGAACCCTCAACATCACCACAGCAGTCCTATGCACTTCTGCGCATGGGCTACTTAGCAGCAGCCCCTTCGAAGCAAAGTCCTTCTTAGAAGATAAGTTTTCTCTTTGATTTAAAATATTATACTGGTTGGTGGTATACTCTTGCAATAATAATAATGATGGTCAGTAATAATGGTTAATGATTGTTATTATATGGTTAATGATGGTTAATCATAATCTGGTTGGTGGTTTCAACCAACCCCTCTGAAAAATCATGGAGTTAAAGTCAGTTGGGATGATTTTTCCATTCCCAACTGAATGGAATGTCATAAAATTCATGTTCCAAACCACCAATCAGAAATGGCTTCTTTGAACCCCTCTGCTTCAGTGGAGCCTCTAAGTGGCAAAATGCATCTTTTCAGGGGCCGTACCAGAGGCCCGTACCAGAGCAACGTGCCAGACTGGTCTAACGGTCTCTGTAAAAACGTCATCCACTGTCAACCCGAGAATGGGGATACTTCATTTTGGACTTGATGTAAGCTACTTCGCCACTTAGTAGCAAACACATTTACAAAAACAATTTGTGTTATTAAATATCGACAGTTTACTTTCTCCATATTTACCGTAAAGGACATTTATCTCAATGTAAGTCCATTGTTTATCTCATTAGATATTATATATATATCATTATATATCCGTTGGATCATTGGATTCTGCTGTTGATCCATTTCATTCCACCACTGTTTCCAAGCCCACGTTTATCGGAAAGGGATCTGGGGAGAGTCCAAATTCCAATGGAACTTATTTTGCGAATTTAAATGGAACTTACAACTTTAACAATCCCTGCACAGTAACCACTGGAAGTAAGTTGTAAGTTTTCACAAAAGTTGTAATATGGAACTTACAGCTGTTTTGTTCTTCACAACTTGGGTTTTTCAACGAAACCTCTTCATTTTGCAAGTGTATCAAGGGTGTCCTTCATAGACTCACTTTAAAGACTTTGCATTTCGCCAGGTTTCTCAATCCCTGCACAGTCACCACTGGAAGTGACAAAAGCTCCTCGGGGGCAGTTGGGACCATTGGGATGCCATGTGGCATCTGTTGGTATCCGATGTTGATCCAAATAAGGTATTACCCTCTGGTAATTTGTTACATAACAATGGAAAATCACCATGTTTAATGGGAAAATCCACTATTTCTATGGTGATTTTCAATAGCTATGTTAAATTACCAGAGGGTATTATTTTTCACCAAAAGAACGCACTTGAGATGAGGTAATCACCAAAAATGAGAAAACGACAGCACCAAAATTTGCTGGTTGGTGGTTTCAACCCCTCTGGAAAATATTATTCAGTTGGGGTTAGTATTCCCAAAATATGGAAAATAAAAAATGTTCCAAACCACCAACCAGTTTGAATTCATCAACCAACAGTGAAATGGGGAACATAACAACCAATTCCAGTTGGTAAACTAGTGGATCAAGTCACCCGTTATCACCGGCGCATTTCGCAGGGAAAGTTCCATGTTTCAGTGGCTCACCCAACATCCACAAGTCATCCACAAGTTATCCACAAGTTATCCACAAGTTATCCACAAGTTATCCACAAGGGCAAATTGTAGCTGAACATATGGAAACCTTGAAGATGGTTTGAACGTTTTTAGAACATCACGTTCTTAATAAAAATGATCATTCTCGGCTTCCACCGTGATTTTTTTGTTTGTGTTCCAGCTCCAGTTGTCCACAACCTCTTCCAGTTCCAGTCGGCTGTGTCGATTTCGACCCTGAGACCTGTATGGGAGTGTGTCATGGTGTGTCTGAATATGTGGCCGGTATTACCCAACAAATTCCCATGAAACCTAGGGAAAACGAATGAAAATGATGATTGACAATGGATTGGGTCAAAAATAGCTGCCTCCAATTTGTGGCAATGTCAGCAAACATAGCGTAGCTTGGGTACCTGAAAATACATGAAAATGGTACTTGGTGGTTCATCCCACGGCTCGTAAGTGGGTTATCAACCCAGATATAAGTGGATTAACTCTACTTATCCCACTAACAAAACTGAAGTGAACTGTTCGCTACTTAGGATCCGTGCGGGGTTTGCCACCAAGTAGCCCTTTGGATTCTGATGTACCCTATTTCAAAGTCCCAACAAAAAGTCGCCGTGCCGAGCATCCACAATCTGACCGTGCTGGGCGAAATCGGAGGCGCCACCTCAGTGAATCCGCCATTTCGAAGCCCTATCTGGTGATATCCAAAATATCACCAGAATTCATCACCATCAAATCAAATCTATATAGAATGTCCTATAAATCCCCATGTTTGATGGTTCATTTTTCATTTTTTCATGTTTGAATCACCATAAGATCAGCCTCAGAATCCCATTATTTCCAATTAGCTCCCACTGTATAGCTCATTATATGACCAGTATGTCCCAGTATATCCCTACAATATCCCATCTCCCCACTATAGTTGATTTAGACACCCTATCAACGAAAGTTATACTTATCATAAACCCTAGTAGCTGGAGTTACCCATGAAAAAAAAAGTGAGTGTATAGCCCCTCCATACAATTTCCCATTCAATTTTACAACTTTCTACTATTACTGTAGTAGGATTTAACTGAAACCCATCTAGTTTGGGTTTGCTATACATCGAATTTTTCATCATCTCCGGTCATTCTATTAGAATTCTATGGGTTGCAATTATCATCCCCAACAAAAAAAAGCACTGTTAACTCCCGAATTCCTAAGCAATCAACCAAGGTGTTTTCAAATCATCATTAAATCATCATTTTTTGTTGGTAAAATCACCATGAAATCACCATGAAATCTTTTAAAGGACTGTTGTTTCATCATAAAAAAAGGTACTTTGATTTCGATTAAATCACCATTCAATTCCACTCAATCCCATCACAGGCACCACGAAAAATCCATCATTTTTGTTGGTGAAATCCCTATGAAAATCATGGAAAATCCACCATAATTTCATTCGACTCAATCCCATTAAACCACTACAGGATGGTGCCCCCCCAGTGATGTTTGTTGGTTTATAACCTAGTCTAAATATGATTATTTGCTTCCCAATACACTATTGTTATTATAGTTTTGTTCACCAACTTAGCCAACGAACTGATGCCCCATTCTGTATGAAATCCCATTACCATTTGATAAACTAACAGTTTGCGAACTGGAAAATCACCATCTTTAGTGGGTAAATCAACGAACTAAATAGCCATGTTCAATAGCAAACTGTTAAATTACCAGAAGGTAATTGGTATATCACCAACTTTTATGATAATGGGTATAATGGCTACATAACGGATATAATGATATATATATATATATATATGGAATTTATCTGGATATATAGAGTAAATGGCTATATCACCAACTAATACTGGGTAAGTTATCGTGGGGGACCCAGCCTGTATTCATTAACCAACAATGTGGGTAAATATATAATTATAAATATCATACACTATTGTTCTTATTAGTATATTATAGTTTTGTTCACCAACTTAGCCAACGAACTGGGGTCCCATCCTGTATGAAATCCCATTACCATCTGGTAAACTAACAGTTTGCGAACTGGAAAATCATCATTTTTAGTGGCTAGATCACCATTAGCAGTGGGTAAATCCCATGAAACCACCATTTTATATAATGGGAATAATTATCTCCATTATAAGAGATAGCCATTTATTCTATATATATATCCATATAAATTCCATATATAGCCATTGTACCCGTTGTACAGTACTATAATAACAATATATATATATATGTAACTTGGTTTATAGCCCCATCCAAATATAGGTATAAGATGGTATAAGTATCATACACTATGGTTATATTATACAATGTGAGGCCCCCCAGTTATAAGTTGGTTTATAAACCCCAGTAACTATAGTAATAAGTACCATAAACCATAGTGAAATTGGAGTTATGTGCACCAACTTAGATATCGAACGGGGGCCTCACATTGTAGTTTTTGTTCACCAACTTCGCTAACAAACTCGGGCCCCTTGCCCTTCCATCCGACCCATTTTTCCAAGGCGCAGCCCTCAGACGTTCTCATCGCCGGATCAGCTCCAGCTCGCAGCAAGAGACGCAGCAGCTCCAAGTCGCCCAGCTGAGCCTGGGAACGGAGGATTTCTGGGTGATTTCATTGGGAAAAATATGGAAAAATATGGAAAATATGGAAAAATGGTGGATTTCTGAGATTTCAATAGTTTTCATGTTATCGAATCGTGATTTCATCACGGTGCCGTCCAACGCTGTATGGCAGGTCTTCGAACAACGTGGAGGTCGGCAAGGATGGAGGATCAAAGAGAAGGATTTTGCAGGCATATGTGGGTATGTCTGAAAATGGGCTATACCCCCAATGAAGCCATAAAAAGTAGGGATAATGATGATAATGATCAGCAAAACCCTTGGGTTTTTTGGGGTACACAACATTTTCAGACAAACCCAATGGTGAATTCTATGGTGTATTCTATGGTGTATGGTGGATGTATCTTCCTGGATAAATGGGGGTGATATTGGTATATGAACAATATATTGGAATATGATGGGGATAATGATGGGATATTAGATGGAACTGGAAAAAACATCTCGTGATTCAGTGGTTTGGGATAGTTCCCTCTTCAATTTCCATTCTTCCATGACGTCGCGACGCGAGATCATTATACATATATAATTTATCCATATTTCCATATTTAATTTATCCAGCATAGGTGTGATTTTAGGAGCGATACATTTTGTTCCATTGGTTTTTGAAATGAAAGGAATTTGCTAAATTGCACCTATTTGGATATCATCGGAATGTTATTGGATTTGAGAGGAGGTCATTGGATTCGTAAGTTAGTGTCTGGTGGAAGCTTAGGTTGACCTTGATTAGAATTCGACGAGCCATCCAGCCGCTTGAAGTTTTTAAGGAACTTTACAAAAAAAAACAGGCTTAAAGATACAATATACAATATTAGATGTTCATTGGACTCAGACTGGAGATTCGTGACATCCTAGGAACGACGATTTTAGCATCAAACAGATGCGGGATTCGTGACAAGTGCCAAAAGCAAACGACCGTTTCATATTGGTTGATATTACAATGAAACATGAAGTTTCAACTGAAAACAATGACGCAAAACACATACTGACATACTGTACATCCCAACAAGATCTCCCAACATTATCCGAAGATTTGTTCCCAGCACATCTCATGAGATCACGTCATCAAACATGGACAATTTATCTACCCCTCCATGGGTTGGCGGGATTTCCCTGACATCGACATTGCGACTTCGGCGCCAGCTGTAAACATAATTTTGATCAATAGCTATTAATACCTTAATCAATAGCTATTAATACCATTAACTTATACAGGATACCTATTAATCAATAGTTACAATGTGAGGCCCCCCAGTGATGTTTGTTGGTTTATAAGCCCCAGTGACTATAGTTATAACTACCAATAAACCATAGTTATTGTCGTTATTTGCACCAACTTAGATATCGAACGGGGGCCTCACGACTTGTATGTTTTTCTGGCTATGGATCAATACCAACCATCTTCCAGGGGGATGAACAGGGCATGAATCCCAACGAGTTATCTTTGATGTTTTTGACCCACTTCCGTATAAATGATTTCTAGTAGCCTCTGGTAATTTAACATAGCGAACTGGTATATGACCATGCTATTAATAGGTAAATCATGGTATATAAATCATCTATGAATGGTCCATTTTCCATAGCTATGTTAGTTTACTGGAGGGTAATATACTTTAATGTTAGGGAATACATCACTCATACGATTTCATACGGACATATTATAGACGGAATTCTGCAAAAGATGTTGGCAACTCTTTGAAACATCGACCACAATACCCCCTACTCCTCAGTCACTCAGTCGGGTGGCCGCCACGTGTACGGGATAGACACCTGCATCGCCCGTCCTTGGTGACATGGAGATATTTCCTATCCAAGGGGATTGGTTCAATGGTTCAATTTTTTTTTAAAAAAACATATCCCGACATTTTCAGTTGAACATGCAGTTCTACTGCACCATACCTAACTTTGACAAGAACCACATGCTTCTTTTGAATGAACACCCAGCGGTGGCGCCAACAAACAAATGATGTCGGAATTTGCAGACTGGTCTGCCGAATCACAGATTTTATCCACAGATCCCTATGTTTAGGCAATTCCTAGATAATTTTGTCTAATTCAATGGGGTATTAACCTAAAGGGGAAATGCATTTCTGGGATTTTGAGGTACCCACACTTCAGACAAACCCATATACAGTTGATCATATCCACCGTATTTAACTTTCTATGATCATGATTGATCATGAACATTCTGGGTTTGGGTACCAAACAGAAGATTTCAAGAACCACGACACTTTATTGGTGACCGACTCCATAGGCAGTATTTTTTTTGTTGATGTTTACCAATTGTTGACTTTCATTTTCATTGGATATGCCGTGATATGCCCGCCAAGAATGGATACAACCAGCTTGTTGGTCGTTCTTACCCATCAGTTGTTGGTGTAGCATCTTTGTTGGGGATACATTCTACTCTTGACTAAGTTGGGTGAAAGAAGAACAGCTGCTGGTGTAGTTAGTCGGCCTGGATCAAAATGCCAGTAGTTAGTAGTTAGTAGTGAGCAGTGAGTAGTCAGTAGTTAGTAGGTGGTAGTAGGTGGTAGTAGGTGGTAGTAGGTGGTAGTAGGTGGTGGTGGTAGTAGGTGGTAGTAGGTGGTAGTAGGTGGTAGTAGGTGGTAGTAGGTGGTAGTAGGTGGTAGTAGCTGGTAGTAGCTGGTAGTAGGTGGTGGTGGTGGTGGTGGTGGTGGTAGTAGTAGTAGTAGTAGTAGTAGAAGAGTGGTCGTAAAGTGAAGGCCACGGACGGCCAAGCTTGGCCCAAAGGGTCCAAGTTCGTCAGTGTTCAACCCGAATCCCCTATACGCCTCAACTTTGAAAAGCCGTCCCCGAGCGGAAGAATTTCCCTAGCCGTTTCCGGGTGAGGGCGGTGCTGGTCGCCAAGCGCCTACAATAATCGATCACCAACCTTTCAGCAAAATTCATGCAGAACACAAAACCAATTTTTTTCCCGCAACGCTATTTTTAGTCGATTCTGTCGATTCTTCAACATAAGAATGACCCCCATCTTGGTAAACTCAGATGAGTTTGTCTACCCAATTGACATTTTAAAGGGAAGACATGTTGTGGGAACTTGGTAAAACTCCGGAGATCTCTGCGAAGCTTCTCTCCAGACATTGGCAAATTGATTCCCCGAAAGTTGTAGTCGATCAGAAACGTCTGCCTCAGAACCAGGGTGACAAAAAATAGTGGCTTAAGTTTTTCGCCAAAAACCCAAGAAATGTATGGGTCATTTGATGTCATAAGGAGGTCATTTGAAGTTTCTATAGGAATTCTTTTTGACGATGATCCCTGAGCCCAGTGGGTAAATCTCTTCAGTAAATTCCTCAAAACTCAATGACCCTCCTACTGTTCAACCGCAGCACTTCCATCTTCAACCATGGCTCAACCCTTCGGACTGTGGGATGAGGGAATCCCATTGGCCGATGTTCACCACGGAAATGCAGGCCCGATCTGAAATCATGGCAGAAATTGGATATTTGAGTAGATGTTTGAGTAGATCTTTGACATTTACTGAAGATTTTTTAGGCAGCTGCACACATCCCAGTTGGGGTATATTCCATCCCATGTCATCCATCTCCATGTCATGACGCCCAGCTACAGCTTAATCCGATCCAAGCGCTGCTTCTGCTGCCGCTTGCTATCCTCGAAAAATCTCACAGTTTCGGCCAATGGGGCCCAAAACAAAGTCGCCACAATACCAAAGCGACCAAAACTAGAGTTGTTTGGGGACCGAACTGATTTTTATATATGTTTATTATAGAGATGATGTAACATTAATATAACTTTGACATCCTTCCGTTAATGCTGAGCCCCAAAAAAAAATGGTGACAGTTTCCCCTTGTTCATATATTTTTGATTGGTTGAATCCAAACAAGTCATTCCCATGCAACGACCCGCTGCCCGGTCGAGTCCTGTAACACATCCACTTGATTCACTTGATCATGAAAGGAGACCTGGAACAGAGGGAACATCTACACCGGAGATCTCCCACGTTTTCGTTGAAGATCTGTCATTTTCCATGGTTAAACCAATCCCATCATTTGGAATATGTTGTAATACTTGGTATAATTGGGGTTGTATGATGTTGTATGGCTCATGATTTCAAATTAATTATGTCCCTAAACACTTTCCCGCAAATCAGCCAAAAAAAAAGAAAGCCAAGGACCATATATTTAAGGCTTGATTTCCAATCATATGGATGTAAACCAGCTTAAAACTCTGGTTTACAGGAAACCTGGCTTTTGCACTGACCTATGGTTGTCTATGGATTTTCCCTTCACATATTCCATTTATTCCATTGATGGGTGGTGTCATTTGAGAAGTTTGACCACGGGTTGGACAGGGAGGCAATGAACGGCAATCCATTGCAGAGTGCCAAGGCTTGATGATCTCCCATGATCTACCCAGCATTATCAGTGCGGCTTCAATGCTATAAACCAACTATTCCATGAGATTCACCCTGGCTGCCATAAACCATCCCTAAAAAAGCGGTTGATTATTGGGTATACTTCTAGCTATAGGACGATGTAAAAATATGTGAAATGAATGGTTGGGATGGTGACTACGACAGGTGGATCCTACATGTCACCATTTTATATCATTTTATCACCATTTTGATGCTTAAATCCCCTGAAGAATCACCATGTTCTTCCATTCAAACATATCAAACATCCCATTTATAGCTGAATTTCCCATTCAAACATACATTTATAGACGATTTTCCTGTTCCAGCTGAATTTCTCATCCCCAAATTCCACCAAATTTCCCAAAACCCAAACTCGATCGTTTCGACGTCACCTGGCTGGGCTTCGTTGGCGCTGAAACCATGGCGTCGAAAGCGACGATGGACGGCGAAGCCGACACAGCGCACTGAACTTGAGAAAGTTCAGGATGGATCTGTATATGAGATATATGATTATATATCCATCATTATAAATATATATATATATATATATACAGTGTATCATATTATATATATATATTATAAATGATTGAGGATGATTGTCTCCCTTGGACTTTGCCTTGCGAAATTTGACAAGGACTAATCTTCTTCTACAGCCAAATGCGACGAGGGCGGTTCTGGCGCCACTGACACGTGCTGCTTCCAGGTGTCCGATTCAAGTTTTTCATCACTTGTGACGTGCCCCGACTGACTTCAATACGGATCATGGACGTGTCAATATCTAATATCACCAAATGGTATATGTACATATATGATTATAATTATAATTGATTATGTACCAGGTAGTGCCCGGCACGTGCCGGGGCGGAAGTTTCGAAAAATAGGACACGGCTATAGGAACCAGTTTGCTTACAGGATTTTTTGGTGAGTTGGAAAGAAACGAATTGAAATAACATGAAATGAAATGCATGAAATGAAATGAAGTGAAATAACATGAAATGAAATGAAAGAAAGAATGATGAATAAACAAATGAATGAAAGAACTAAGCGACATGAAATGAAGTGAAGTGAAACGGAAATGAAATGAAATGAAATGAATAAAACAAATGAAATGAATGAAATGAAGTGAACTGATATGAAAATGAAACTAAATGAAATGAATGAAACAAATGAAATGAATGAAGTGAAAGCAGTGAATGAAGCGAGTGAATATGGATGAAATAGATAATATGAAAATGAAATGGAATAACGTGAAAATGAATGAAATGAATGAAATGAAATGACATGACATGACACGAAATGAAGTAAAATGAATGAAATGAAAGAAAAGAAATGGGACAGAAGGAAGCTAGACGGATCACTTTTGCCAGAGCAGGTTGAACAGTTGTGTCTTGGGCTGACAGCTGATGATTTAATGATTCTAAAGGATTACTGTACATAGTTCTACTATCTTTTTTTTGCAGCCTCTTCGGGCGTGTCAGCGAAGACTACATCACCATCAGCAAGATGAGATGAATGAAAACAAATGGACAGAAACGGAACGGAATGGAATGTATGAATGAATGGATGAAAGCACAAAAGAATGAATGTCGGAATGAGTGACTGAGTTGAGTCAATGATTCAATGAATACACGGAAGAATGAATGACAGAACGAATGATTGCATGATAGGTTATGTATATATATATATATATTATAATATTTATTCATGTATATATGCATGTATGTGTGTATATATATACAATTATATACATATTTGCAGCCTCTACGGGCGCATGGAATTGCTGTCGCTTCTTCGCGGATTGCTTCGCCGGTGGTGATGGTGGCCCTGGGAAACACTGGTGAAACCATAGGAGTTCCGGCAAGTCCGGGGTCCAAATGCAGGTTATCTCCAACACATTTACGACTCAATATTCCCAGCTAACACCTTAAAACCATTTAAAACATCATAAAACATCTCAAAAAATCTCAAAACATCTATTTTGATCATTGATTTCGCCATGTTTCACACCGAAGGCGGGCCATCCTCCCTGGCCGGCTCCGCCGGCGCCAGCCTTCCGTGCACGGGCGGCGTCAGCCGCGTCCGCCGTGCCGTCTCCTCCGGGCAGTTTTGGGGGGGCTTTTGGGATCATCCCAGGGAAGAACCACGGATATTTTGATCGGATCACCGGGGAAACCATCCATTCATCGGAAAGGAAAATTGAAACCGGACACCACCACTTAATGGTAAATACACCATGGTTTTTCCAAGATTTTTGCCTCAAAAATCCCATGAATTAACCATGGTTAGACCATCCATTCCGATCCATGGGATCCATGGGAGATCATCCGTTTTCGTCATGGATGACCATGACCGTGTTAAAAAAGCTATGGTGAATTGGGGATGCCCGAGGCATCCCAAGAAACCAGCTTAAATGGAGATATTGCTTGGGATCTAATTTGATCTACAGTAACTGAAGAGTTATGAGAATATTCATATCACATGGGATATCAAATTATGGGGAAACCAAATGTCTATCATGATTATGGTCTACTGATATCCCATGACAATTAGTCTCATGTGAGTAGACTTCTAAGTTGGTACATCCAATAATCAGGATATCATGGGTTATGATGGACGTACCTGATTATTGCTGGTTGGTGGTTTCAACCCCTCTGAAAAATATTAGTCAAATGATATTATTGTTCCCAATATATGGAAAATAATGAATGCCATGTTCCAAACCACCAACCAGATTGGGTATACTCCGAAATGGTGCACGAGTCTGGTATCCCCGTTTTCCCCGTTTTTTCATCAGAGTGGGCCGAAAAACCGGGGTTGGCTTGGGGGCACCTCCAGGAAAACATGGGGATGTTCTACAAGTGCTCCCTTCAATTCTTACAGCTTGATGATTCAAATCCACATCCTTCATCCTGCGGTGTTTCAATCCTAGCTTCACCCAGCACTGTTGAAAGGAACCGATCAACATGAGGTTGTGGCAGCACAAACACATCCGCTTCGATGTGTTCATCCCCTTGGTGGATCGACTGCGCCGCTTCCGCCGTCCTTTCTTCTCTTTCAAGGACGGCCTCAGCGCTGCAAAAATCTGTTCAATCCATGAGAAGTCATGATACTGTGGATGGAAGAAATCCCGCACCAGTTACCCTCTGGCTATGACTAACAGTGTGCTATTGAAAATGGCCATAGACATAGTGAGTTGTCCCATTAACAATGGTGATTTCCCATACTTATGTAAACGTTTACCAGAGGGTAATAATAGATGGTTTATCCCATGATTTATAGGTTTTCTACCATCGGTGGTGCAGGATTTTCCATCCGTAATTCATGATTTCTATGACTTGGATGAATAATGTGGACTTTCCTTGATTCATTTTTATCACCTTCCATTCACATCAATCCATGAGTTGATAATTGACAATCATATAACTCATTAAAACTCATGATTTCTGTGACTTGGGATATTTTTTTTGGTGATTTCAATGATCAACTCACGATTGCCATGGGGATCATATGTTTAATCAGACACTTATCTCAACCGTAGACGTAGATTCCATACATATCCACACATCAGTTTCTGCTTTCCCAGTGGATAGAGGAAAGTCAAACATGGTCTGGCCTTTGGCTTGGTGGCTTTGAAGCCGACAAAACTTGATGGATGGGACAAGGGACAGCTGTATGAAAGTCTGGTCCACCAGCAGAATGCCACAGTCAGAACTTGCTTTCGGGAAGATATAACTATTGTGCTTTCGTTTAGGGCTTACCGGCAATATAAACGCAGGGTCGCGAACCATTCACCAGTCGGTCGACCGAAAAAATAATGAACCAGATGGCATATCAAATTTGATTATTCCATTAATTTGTCTGAAGTAGTGGACCTCAGCACTTCGAAGTTTCTCACGAAAACAGTGGACCTTCAGATCACTTGCAGGAAATGTGCAAGGATATGCTTACAAAGTGAACTTGTTTCAGCATCATCTCTGAGTCTCGCATCGTGAAACTGTCCGGTCAATTCTCCATGATAAGGACATGGAACAGCTGGGCTTCAAAGACGAAAAATGGACGACATGAGTTTTTCTTCATGTTACTCAGTAACAGCCTGAACATTTAAATAATATTAAATAATCATAAAAGAAAACTTTCCACTTTCCCAACAGGTTCACTTGGCAGACTTGGCATTTCTGGGTTCTGATCTCAAGTTGCCCACCGTGACTTTCCCATCAGACTGAGACTCCCCCACATGGCGCGACACCTGGTCATCCCGCTGAGGAAATCACCCGTCACCATAGTTTAGTCACCATCCCTTGTGAATTACCCGGCCTGGTAATGGAGGTTTTCATGGGAAAACCATAGGAAAACCATAGGAAAACCATAGGAAAATGGAGGTTTACCCTCTGGTTATGTCTAACATAGCTATTGAACATGGCCATAGACATAGTGAGTCTTCCCATCAAACATGGTGATTTTCCATAGTTTTTTGTAAACGTTTACCAGAGGGTACCATATTTTTATGGGCGGTATTTCATCTCATATTCCATGGCTAGGGATGGTGACTATGGTGACTAGCTATAAAAAAGAACATAGAATCCTATCCATAAACGTGTTGGTATTCCATTGGGTTCTAACATGTTCAAACCATCCCCAAATGCTAAGTTTATGAGATGGTTTATGATGGTTTATGGCACGTGATATTTAGCAAAAAAAATATGAAGATGGGATGACCATACACCAGAACATGGGGGTATCACAGTGATACTGATACTCTATATGACAATATGCATAATATAATATAATATATATATATATATATAACTCACAACATTCTATGTATGTATACAATATATATATATATAATGAGATCTAGTTGCAACGGCAATGGGCTACTCCCATCCCCCTGCGGGCAGCTTTTCTGGATCCCAGAAATGAGTGATGGATCCCATGGCTTCATTTTGGGATGCCTTGGGTCCAAAACATCCATCCATGGGCGTTGACCGAAAAGATGCGGTAGACGTCATGCTGTGGTTCTCCGGATTCTCCGGATTCTAAGTCTTAGTGTCTTTGATGTAAGACTGTACCCGCCTTGATGGCTTTCGTATTTTTCATCGGGGTGCCGGGGTGCAAAGAAACCGACACCTCTTTCAGGGTTCAACAGGGAAAAGCCACGTTTTTTGGTGAAGCATCCCCAAAGGGCCCGAACACCTGGCGCTTGGGGCAGTTCCAGCGAACAGTTTGTGGATTTTTGTTGGACCAGAGAGAATGTAGGGATACGTAGGGATCCTAACTCTCTGGGGCTTACAATCCCACTATCTACCCGTTTGGTTCCCACACCATGCAGGCCCTTCCAAGCCTTGACCGAGCAAAAGATTGTGGTTGCAAAGTGCAGATTGTGGACCAAAATCACAAAGCTGTTGGGCTGTTGGGTGCAAAT